GTCGAGGCACCTTAACATGATAAGCTGTCTTCTATTCAAACAGGATCCATTTGAACATCTTCCTGATGACTACAAGGAATCAGTTTCGGAGGCAATGCAGATTTCAGTCCGTGAGACTCTTAGGAAACTAAGTGACGCCAACCTTGACGTATTGGTCTCACTTTTGATAGAAATCATTATACTTCAGTTGAACGACGATTTTGAGATCGATATGAATTACAGGTACGTTGTAGATAAGAATCTGTTTTGTCCACGGTGATTTAGTAATGACTAAGGTTGTCCGAAAGCTTACATGCGTACTACCCATATGCTCTTTCGGGTGCGAGCTGTCTACATCCATAAGCAATAAGGTCATAAACGAAAACATTAATTGCGTCGTAAATGTCCTTCAAAAAAGCGTGGAATGACAACAAGAGCTATTGAAAATGGCCTTGAAACTTAGTTACCAGTAATTATGATGTAGGATTGGAGCGTAATGGCTTTTCCCAAGATTGGTTCTGCACTAGAAGCAAAGCGAGGTTTTGGCTAGGTCACAACATTTTCCCGTGATGTAGAAAATTGTTCAACGGTACTACCAATAACGTTACGCTTTGATAATCATATTTTGGCTGCAAAATGTTTCCTACAAATGCACATGTTTTCACTTAGTGTCTATTTCTTTCGAATACTTAATTTAGGCACTGCATCCACAGTTTTCRTAACTGCATCCACAGTTTTCATCTTTTGGTATTTTATGAAAAGTTCTCTTGAGTCCTTCGACGATAATTCATGAATGGGCATGACAAAGTCGAATACAACTCTTCCCTTTGATTTTTTGCTTGTTCAGCAACTTTCTTCATCCATTATGAACACGTGGACATGTTAYGACCTAGCCAAAGCCTCGCTTTGGTTCTGCAGAATTCCAACATTTTGACTGAGAAAAGGTCATTGATGATGTCATTGATTGCGTAATATTTGAGACTACTTAAAGTGCTTTAATAGTACAAAATTAAGAGAAATATAAATTATTCTTTTCAGCCTGAAGGAGTATATCACATACAATCCTCTTCATGAAGACAGTGAAATGCCGACTGAAGTTGACAGTATACCGGAAACAGTTAAGYTTCGACATGTCTTTGGATTTTGGCAGATTTTAATTAGTCTTAGCGACAGAAGTAGCCATGAAAGAAGAGTCCAACCAACATGCTAGACCTATTAAAAAACAATACCTGTTACGCTATTTTTGTATTCAATTGATTTTATTGACATTTAGTCCGAAAACTAAAATCTTAGTCAGAATTTGAAAATTAGGTAACAGTTAATTTTCATTTTTTTTCTTTTTGAAATATCGCTTTACGAAGAGMATCCATTTCATGTTTTGGTTTTCATCATCTTGATCTTTCAAATGGACTGTATAATGTATAGTATGACATTAGCAATCGGGAATATATGATTTGAAAGTAGTTTTAAACCAAGAAACTTAATACTTTTTTAAATACACACACAAAAAAAATTAAAAGCACTATTAATGCCGACAATAGTTGGCAAAATTTCACTTCTGAAAAATAGTTTTTTTTTGCGTTATAGTTAAGTATAGAGTATAGCAATATGTACAATTATGAAAAAAAGTATTTCAAATAAAATAGGTTATATTTAGGTGTTTATATCACTGGTATATTTATAGATTACATAGTATAGACAATAGTACAGTTATTCTCACCAGTCCTGACCGAACTTTGTGGTCAAAGGTAATTTTTCCATGTTTTCAATTAGTGATTTCAGCTATTAAATATTATTTACACACTGTTATTAGATGTCAGTTGTTCATATCCATCTCAAAATGAGAATGTACTGCCACAAAGCAAACAATAAAAAAGATGTGAACTTGTTACTTTTGCCAAACTACGTTGTACATGCTTCTTAGTGGCTTGACAGGCCATCAGTGGGAACGGGACAATTTTTTATTAAATTAACGTAGATAATAGTGCAACGAAGTGCGCAGTCTCAAAAAAGTGCAAGAGTAGTACTTATGGTGAGAATCGCAAGTACGGCATCTAAAGTATTTCTCCTGACCCTTAATTATTGAAAAAACGGACAAATGTGATGTTCCTCCTGATAAACAGTTTTATCTCAATTTTGTTTTGTTTTATTTTATTCTATTTTTTTTTCCAATTTAGTGATTTCTAAAAGCATTTTGGGAGAACTTTCAATATTTGGCTTTCGGCTGTAACGTAACCATGGCGTTCTACAGATGAATTGTTCGATTCATAGATTTTGTTCTTAACATTCACAGTCCAGAAGGCACTCGAGTGAACAAGTGCGTCTAATTTAATTTTCAATTAAAATTCACAGTGAGTGGCTTTAAGCACTTTGTATTCGTTTTTCATTTATCTCCTTGACAATTCTTTGCTTTCGTTGGGACGTYAAATTAAATTCTTGGTCGGCAAAATTAAATATAAATTGAGCCACCTATTCGGTACCCTAGATCAATTTTTTTCGCTGAAACTTTCAGTTAGATGTGGCTTTTATTCGTCGTTTTCGCTTCTTTTACTTTTTTTCAAATGAACGGATATACGATAATGGTTTCTGGCATTTGAAACTCGGATTCAAACTAATGTAATAAAAAGTACTATTTTACCACGCAGTGAAAATTAGAATAGCGATTATTAAGATTTTCGTTTACTTTTAATTCTAAACACATCAATCACCTCATATCTATTTTGTTTATCTTAATTTTTCTTTCAATTTTGAACCATGACAGCTTAACTTTACAACCGGAATGTTTAATTGTTTACTAATTCCGACTGAGTTCTAATTTTTTTTTGAAAAACATATCCTTGTATGAATTCAAAGAGTTTATTTATAAAAAGACATCAGCACTTATTCAAATAGATTGGTTTCATGGATCAAGGACCATTTTTTACAATAACGTAACTTTTCCTATCCTACAGAAAAGCATGTAAACCCGTCAATATCAGGGTGTCACTCCTTTATTTTTATTAAGAGTGCAAAATCTTATAAAAAAACGGTCATTTCAAATTTGTAAAGAGATAATTTTGTAGATTGTAATCTTTTCTACGGCTCCAGAAATGGAAATAATGTCCAAAACGTCAATATAAAGTTGACTTTATTTGAACGTTTTAAAATTACTTTTTTTGGTCCAGTTTCCCATGGGGACATAGATGYGGTGATTAATGTCCGATTTTAACAAGCTGTAAATTACTAAAGCATGAATCAATCATATTTGCTCCCACCTTCGATGATAAAGAAATTTAATAAAATCCTCATGAATTAAGAATCGATAGAAGTACAACACATTTCTTTTTAATTTGTCTCCCAATGTAGATTCAGCTTTTTTAATCACAACTACCTCGCCTCATTATTTTTCATTAATTTTCTGTCCCACGTAACTGCGAATAAACAAAGACTGATTGAGCACACAASCCAGCTTTGATCAAAATCAGCGCGTTGAAATTTGGAACGCTTGAAATATTTTTGAAAGAGATGAGGATATGATCCCAGCGGTAATTGTTTTTTTAATTTTTATTCCTGCAGCATCACTTTGTGCCATTCTATGCAAATTGTAATTTCATTCTATGACTTTGAACAGATCGGGCTTTTCTTATRTACAAACGAAGTGGCAACTGATCAATCATTCAAGACTACTTGTGACGAAAATAGAAAAAGGTATTTGTGCAGATGCTGTTGAAAAAGGGACCCATTAATAWCGGGAAAGTGGAGAGGCGAAGGTGTTGAGAAACAGAAAGACGAAGAGTGACAAAGCAATTCAAAACCACCGTTAAGAACTGACARTATTTGTCCAAATGTGCAGTTTTTCCATCTTTTTAAGTTTTAAAATACTTTTGATTTTTTTCCTATTTACTGCCTTCTATCCAAGCAGTTTTAACCAATCTGGCAACGTTCAGGAATGTCCGAAATCCTCGATAGCACAAAAGCGGTTGCAGTCGTGGAAAAGCTATGACAATACCAATGGTAAATCCACCAATGTAAAAAAACATGGCATTCCATCGGGACATCATCTTGAAAATGGTGATGAGAACAGAACGAAAAGAGAAATTGATAGAGAATGGAGAGCTAAACCTCAAAGTGAATATGAAGTCAGGTCAAGAAACGTGAACGAACGATTGGACAGACAGAATTATCCCAGTGTAGAGCTGCTAATGTCACCAGTTCTGTCGCATTCAAATCGATTAACAAGGATGAAACGAACGGTTAGCCTTGAGAGCTCAAAATTGCTTTGCAAAAAGGAAATGTCATGCGGAAGGCGGTGCGGCTCTAACTCTAACACTGTGATATACAACGAGGAATTGTCATGCTAYTGTGATGTCAACTGTGTGTTTTTTAATGACTGTTGTTCTGATTTTGAACATATTTGTCAAGGTAGTCAGCAGCCCAAGGATACTTCACAAAGGCTTGGTCCTCCAGATCTTAAACCAGAAGTAAACAAAAACAGAAGTCATAATGAAGAATGGAGATGCATCGATTCGGATGTCAGTATTCCAATTCGAATGAAAGGTATTTGGATGATAGGATCTTGCCCAAAGTCCTCGGCTAAAAATGACGATTTCTATAAATGCACAAACCTTTCAATAGCCAGCAAGATAACTCTTGATAACTACCAATATCCACCTGTCTACAACAGCAATGGGACAGTCTATCATAACAAGTTCTGTGCTTTGTGTAATGGAGTAGAAATGCGAGACATTAGGTCTTACCAGTTGTCTTTTCAATGTCTAGTTACTCCACCAGACGGTGCCAGCCAAAGAGAGAAACTCGAATTTGTCTTTACCTACTGCACTGGAATATCATGGAAGCCTCGAAATGGGGACCCTAGAAGATACTGTCTTAGAATTAAGTCAGAATGCGACAAAAGTACTAGTGATAGATTACATCGAGAATGCAACGAAACAATAGTAGGACTGGTAAACGACAATGAGTGCATTTACAAGAATATCAAATGTGCTAAATGTAATAACAAAATGATGCCAAACATAACGTGCGGACCAAATGGCACAGCCATGGAAAAAAAGAAAAAGTGCCCAGGTACTAGTTTAGGACCACCAATAAGTTTACCAAAGCCACTGTCAGTCCTTTTTGATTTTAATAGTCCTGAATCAACCAGGGTTGAGACAAAGTGCAACAGTGCAAAGGTATTTGATCACCATTTGGGAACTTGCCGGAAGACATTGACGCTTCCTAAGAATTCAGAAGTTGACGGATACAAGATAATACTCTGGGCTAAGCTCATAGACAAGAGACAAAACAAGGAACTTAATCCGCATCCAGTACATGTAATACTTACAAAGTCAAATATGTCAGTACCTAGTGAAGACTTGGCAACTGTTCTACATGTAAATCCAAGAAATATTAGGAATCTCAGGATAGCTCTTGACAGCTCAATTTTTGAATTTGAATTTGATTTGATAGAAACCCTCCTCAAGAACAACGATTCAGGAGCCTTTGACAAAATTCTTAAATTCACTAAACCATTTCAGATTACGATTGTCAATTTCACGTTTGTTGTGTTCAAAGCTATAAGCCTAAATTTAAGCTGTCCCAACTTTCAAGTTTATTGGGGGAATGAATATACGCCGGCTGTTAACCAGTCCACGGTTTACATCAAAGAGACCGGCGAAGTACTGCATCGACAAGATTACTACCTCACAGGGAATGGCAGTCGTGATATTTTAGTCTGTCGCAGGAGAACAAACTGCTCGGAAAAATGGGTTTTAATGGAGAAAGAAGAGTTCACTGTTTTAAGAAACAGATCTGTGTTTATCAATGCTTCCAAAATAATGTATGCTATCACAGAGCAGTTTTGGCAGAACCGTAGTCTGTTCGTTTGTGAAAATTTCTCCAACCGTCATTCTATGATTGAAAAAGATGAACGTGTTTCCTCCATCTTGACGCTTGCATGCATGCTGATGTCCATTATTGGCCTGCTGTTCGTTCTGGTCACTTATACCTTGTTCGCCGAGCTACGAACAACACCCGGTATGAACCTCATTAACCTCAGTGTGGCCATTCTCCTTGCACAAGTCTTGTGGATCGTTGGAACTTGGCAAACAGACAAACCCATGGTTTGTACTGCCATAGCTGTCCTTCTTCACTACTTTTTCTTGGCTTCTTTCATGTGGACGTCAATCATCGCCTTTGACACTTGGAGGGCTTTCCAGTCAACTAATGCACGATGCGGATTGGCAAGCTCAAAACGTTCTAAACGACTGCAGTTGTTACGATACATGGCCGTTGGGTGGGTTTTTGTTATGGTATTTGTTGGTGCCTGTGTGATTCTCGATACTACTGAGGTAGTAAAAGCTGGATATACATCCGCTGCTTCCCGGGGCTGCTTCATCGCTAAGTTGGGCATTGTGTACTTCTTCATCATACCCATAGCGTTGATTCTTTTATTCAACATCGTGCTGTACACCCTCACAATGAAGGCGATCCACGCAACTACAGCGCAGGCTCGAGTCGCTGTTGCTCACCGTAACAGTAGACAGAGTTTTTGGATCTACGTACGGATATCATCAGTGATGGGCTTTACGTGGATCTTTGGTTTCATAGCCCCCTTTGGTGCAAAATTCTTGTGGTACCCTTTCATAGTGCTCAACAGTTTTCAAGGTGTTTACATTGCACTTGCCTTTGGTCTGAACCAGCGTGCTCGAAATCTCTATAAAAATCGCTTCCCTTCTCTTGCTCTATTGTGGAACAAATCTGCAAATACGGAAAAGAATGGTTCACCAATAAACTCTGAGAAAACCCAAGAGGACTTTGACAACACAAAGCTGTAATAATTTAGCTAACTTTGCTAAGTAGACAAAAAGCTGTTAACACAACAATTACTACAAAACAAAATATCCCGAAGGTTCATATCTAAAAACCACATTGCTACATTGCTACAGACACCATACAGTCGTGGGAAAATTTGTGCTTTCTACTTAGGAACATCTTTGCTTATAGAAAATCTGAACGCAAASCTCGTAAAAGATCCTTATGCAGTTTTGCTGAATCACTAAAGTGACAGTACTTGATATGTACATCTAATCAACACTATTTAGCAGTATTTTGATAATTCCCTTCATGGAGCGCTTTTTACTGTGTGTAGAGACCTGCCATTATATGTATCTCTAGGGGTGGGGCTTGTTTTGTAAATTCAATCATTCCAAGAAGCTGTGAAAATGTTTCGGACACTCCTTGGTGTATTTTATTCGATATTTATGAATTTATGTTGAAAATTAACCACGAGCTCCAAAGGGTTAGACAATCATAGACCTTATCTGAAATACAAAATCATGGTGCATTGTGGTCTAGCTTCAGCACAAACAACGTCATATTTGGCAGCATGAACAAAAGATGTTTGTACCGAAAATAGATCACAATGTAATGCAAATTGCCATCTCAGAAAAGGCCTATAACAGATGTTCAAGTAGGCGTTATTGTGTATATATTGTTAAGCATTTATTTTGTGATTCTGAAAGCGAAAGTTAGAGTCGTATTGTAAAAATGACACAAAACATTTCTTATAAATAAAAAAGGGGAAAAAGGATTACACGGTTTGACGTGATATCAGATGTTATCATGAATAACTAAATAATTTGTAATATAAAGAAAACAATCAGTCATCAAATTCTTCATCATTGGTATGCAAAAACACTTGGTCATCCTAAATAGTATACAATTTGCTCCATAATAATGACATCTGAACACACAAAGCAGACAAAAACAGGATGGCGTCAAAGCGGTTAAATGACAGAAGTCCAAAACATTCAGTTCACGAAAAGAAACAGTGTTTTACATTATGATACCATTTACTGTCGCTACCTTTGCCTTCATTTCTGATTATTATAGTTTATCGGGTCCCATATGGGAAGATTATATSAAAGCCATTGCCGTTGGAGAGTTTTTTTCAATCCTCGGCGGTTCCAGGAGATGAAAGCCAACTGCAAAAGAAGGGGTCTCGAGATAGCATTGGCTACCATGTAAGGGAAGTGCTTTTAAGACAATCAACCACGACATTCGAAAAAAAGAACGAATTTATCTTAAAATTGTAAAAAAAGACACAAAAAAGGTTTAATTTAACTGTATTGAAACAAAACACGAAGGCGGATCATAATGCACGAATGGAAAACTAGCATACAAGTGGTATTATCCGAATCAAAAGATATAATTGAAAGTGCCATTACCAATTCATCGATGACGAAGGACAAAAAGTGAGACATTTGGAAGCTATCATTGTCTTCAATGTAAAGTGTCCACCAGTGTACAGTAATTGAAAAAAGATGACTGTGAAAAAGGAAGCTGCGTTTCGTTTCTACCATTCAAATCATATAACTWGGATTGGTAGAATCGTACCCAAATCAATCGGATTAAAATGAAGATTTTTGTATGTGCACAAGCCTTTCAATTGCCATAACACTTTATACATATCCACCAGAGTATACCATCAATGGGACAGTCTATATCTTAACAAGTTTTGTGCTATTTGCAATTGKAGGGGGGTGCTTTTGTCAATAATGTATAGCTAAAAACTAAGTATAGCAGACGGAACGGTCTTTATAGTGGCAGACATGCACATGTTGTGTATGCTACTAGTTTTCTGGATAAAAGTACAACAGGAGTATAAACAGTAGAAAAAACCTTTATACTGATATATAAAGTAATTACGTCGTCCAAAAGGGGGGGGAACGTCCGCACCCAAAGCACCTCCCCTGGATCCGCTCCTGCCCCAGAAGTCGATTGCCTTGATGTTACAAAGCTATATCTCGGCAATAAGAATATTCATAGGAATAATCAACGTCCATGGTGTAATAGCAAAGATGATATAATCCATTTTTTTCCTTGGGAGCAAATAGGAAAATATTAATTGGGCGAGGACAAGAAATGTCTTGATCTTTGTTAAAAGAGAACAATCAAAGTTTTCCATGGCCATTGTCTGTACTTTTTGATTTCAATAGTCCTGAATCAACGTAGTTTAAGATACAATGTGATCTTGGCGGAAAGGCTTTCGATCAGACAACGACCCTTAACTTCCGAAAATTTCAAGAATACAAAATAATGTTCTGACACTAGTCTAAATCCTGCAAGAAATTAAATYTATAGTTTTTGGTAAAGACTGCAAGTGTTCTAAATGTACAACCAAGAGAGATCATAGTTAAGAAGTATATATTATGAGCCCATTTCTTCGGAGTTGAGGAATAGTGGCTGTTGACAGAAACCACATTCAAAAAAGGAATCTAGAAGGTATTGATAGAGTAGGGTATTTTTTATTCCACTAAACTGTTTCAGACGATCAAAGGCCACAAGACAARATATCAGTACACAAAGCTGTCCCAGCTTTTAACATGCGCCGACTGATAACCAGTCAGTGTTTTATAGAGAGAGAGACCGGCGACAGGTTACTAATTCACTGGGAATGGCAGCAGTTATATTTTAGTCTGTCGTAGAAAAACGAACTGCTAAAAGAGTTCACTGTCTTGATATGTAGATCTTTGTTTTTCAATTCTTCCAAAACAATGTATGCCATCGCAGAGCAGTTTTAGCCGAACCGTAGAACTTTTTTCGCCACCATTCTGAGATTGAAAAAGATGAACGTGTCCCCTCCATCTTAACAATTTCATGCTGATGCATGCTGATATACATCAGTGATTGGCTAAACGGTGAAAAGAAAACCCAAGATTAAGTAGTTGGACGAAAGCTGTGCACCAAAAAGGTATGTACGCAACATGTAATTACACTCAAACTGCGCTCTAGATCCTCATACGTAAATACCACAAAGAGCTCATGCAGTCCCAAGAGATTTTAATTTATACTTTATTCCCGGGTACTTTATTAGGAATATCTGTTAATTTAGGAAAGTGTAAAATGCAACATTTGGCAAAAAATCTATTTACATAGGAAAGAACTTATGTACTATCCTTTGAGGTACAATTATTTTTATCTAGCTTTATCGAACGTCTTTGGAGAAATTGTTTGTATCTACGTAGGTAATGTTATGTACCTTTGATTTTTCATATAAACAATGTAATATGAAGGTAGAACAAATCAATAACATTAAATCCCTTCGCAATATTAGTTATAATTAAGAATATGTATAAATACACCTACTTGCAGAAACGTTGTCATAGAAAATAGAATATTCGTATTTAGTTAAAAGGAATAAATTAAAACAAGACAAAAGAAAGCGTTCAGCCTYAGTGATCTTCTTTTGTCTTTTTAATGTATTCCTTTTTTACTAAATACAAAAGTYCTATYTTTTATGACAACGTTTTCGCAAGTAGGTGTATATATTCAGCTAAAATGAAGCTCACTAAACATTGATTAATTGTAAACTAAAATATTAGATATAAAATAATGTAAACAATCAACAAATATATAAGATAAGGATTTCCGTTGACTGAGTTAAGGTGTATATATCAATCGTCAAATTTCTGCGATTAAATTTGCTAAGGTTTTGAGAATGCACGTATGATTTCATGCCCCATTCTTTTAATCGCATTTCTGTACGAACTGTTTATATGGAATATGCAGTATATACATAAGCGTATGCACACATGCCCTACTTATTCTTGTGTCGGTTTTAGAAAACAKTCCTTTCAGAAAACGGTACACAACATGCAGTTCTTAAGAAAATAATAATAATGAAGTACAACGGAATAAACAACAGTGAGTACCAGTGAAAATCCACGCAGAAATTAAAGGTCGTATCTATTTGGGTGATTTACTTTACATGTTACATGCAAAAATTGGAGCACACAAGCTTTACCAAGCCAACTCCCTTAATGGACTTCAAAGTTGACCACTGCACGACATCCCCCTCACTTGTAGGGCATGTCGAGGCAAGWGCCGACACTTCGTCGGAAGAAAACACTTTACTCCACATGTTCACACTGGCTAGATTTCCATGCAGGGCCTGATGACTTTGAAAACCTGTCTTAAAGCCATCTTGTTCTTGTCCAAGTACAATCGACCCTTTGCTGAGGACTTCGCCTTTCTTTCCGATAAATGCAATGCGCACTGCGCCATCGACGTAGAATTTGATGTGGCCACCTGAGTTTTCCCAGGAAAGACATAAATGATGCCACTCGTTGTCTATAAGGTTAATGTTTTSAAGAGATCTAAAATGCAAAAGCATACAGCTATTTCAGACAACGAACGTTGAATACCGAAAATATTCAAGACTAAAAYGYATTGTTGGACGTTCTATCGCGAAGGAAAATGAGGTTTTGTGGTTTTCGAGTGACTAAACGTGGTGTCCATACAGTCAAGACCTTCGAMGTAGTCGCAGATTTTTCCACTTACTTTTYGTCATTATTAACTTCTAAAGCAATATACGTCTTCGTAACATAGATGCCTAGYGCATTGTCGTCCAAMATTGTGCCATACTGAATCGGGTTGTGAATTTCACTCGTGTCGTTCATCTGTACCCATAGTGAAAGCGTGAAGGCGCTCAATGAATCAAATGGATCGTCCAGAATGACATAGTCTTGAACAGATTTCCTTGGGAAGTTCAAAACTTGTTCAGACTTGGCCTCTTCAAAAAAAAAAAAGAAAAGAAAAGAAAGAAATATACATGATTTTTTTTGGCAATATCTTGTACATTGAATTATAATTGACATGGAATGACATAATGATCTCCTACCTTCACAAGTAACACATTTGTAACTGTTGCCCTCCGGCACACATGCTAACGGATAGCTGCATAACTTACGACTACATCTCTTTGGAGGCCTTGCTGGAAAGTTCACGTAGGTGTATCCATCACTTGGAAGAACGATTTCAGGATTTGAGATGTGATTACCGTCATGCAATTCGCACTTTCCTTTATTCTGATGAAAACTGATGCTGTTGCAGCCTTGTTGTGCAGCACACTGATGCTCGCATTGACTTCTGGTCGATAGAGAAACGGTTTTGATCACATGACCACGAATCCTGAACCCTTGGATTGAGTATGGAGAGCTTCTGCAGCTGTCTGCCATAGTTTGCCATGGAAACAGTAACACAAGAACGAAGCAAATCATTTTTTTGAACACTAAAATGTAAAAAAGTCCAAATTTGAGGTGCATTTCTTACGCAAATTACTGACAGGGTGGGGAGGGGGGTAATTAGCATTTCAAACTTTTTATCGGTGGCGCCTTTGCATTTGCACACTTTATAATGCTGCTCCTTCGTGTGTCATTTGAAGAAAGCGAGCATGAATTTACGATGTCGGTGTCAACCCTGCCCCTCATTTAACTTTGGGATATTTGATTGGCTTGTATGTCTGGAGCCTTTGTCGCTATTTTATCGACTTCGATTCATTCATCATATTGATTTACGAGACATAGAACATCTCTTAATGCATGTTATCTAACGAACAAAAATAATACTAAAAAATAGGCGCAACAAGAAGAAACTGTTTATTAATTTCAGTTTACTCATCTTATTTGTTTGACGAGACATTGCAACGTTATTGTTTACAGTCAAAAGATATGGAGCGCGCCCCCTCAAAATACCATTATTCAATTCATTATTCGATTCTTGGTTGATTCAACATTACATCATTGAAATCAAATTTTAATTCAAACTTCGAACTTTGATTGGATTACTGATCAAATTTTCATAAAGCCTTTGTTGGTGCCATTAATTTCGCCACTCGTACATATATTTTACTTTATTATTATCTTGAAGTAGGTTCAATAACTAGTATATGCGCCATGAAAATAAATTAGATAAATAAAGACGAGTTAGAACGATAAAATTACAGTATTTTAGCTACGAAACGGTTATACAAGAACGAGATTCAACTTACGTTACGACGGTTCGGCAAACATGTAGGCACTGAATTAATTATTACAAAATCTATCGATCACAAAACACTCTGGAAACGAATACCGTACAAAGCCTATGGGAAAACAAAGATCTGAGCACAAAGGAAAACTATACTGAATACAAAGACTGCTGAGTACAAATAAAGAGAATATACTGTCTGTTAATTTGGTTGGATCTGTTCCTTCTCGTGAGGAAGGAATGACGGTCTCAAAAATCTGGAAATGCTGTGTTGCTTTCTGTCATTATCAGAGTTCGAGATTTGAAGTTAATTTTGCATTAATCAACTAAAGTTTGAAAACGAAAAATAAAATGAAAAATCCAATAATGCATTGAATAACGAACTATTCGGGGGACGCGCTTTATGTCTTTTGACTGTAAGCCTAAAAAAATGTGAAGTATCTAACAAACAAAAACATCAATATRAAATAAGCGCAGCGAGTTTTTTTTATAGCTAAAAAACTGAAACACTAATTCTAACTCAATTTTTTGAGATTTCTCAGTCCAGGCCAGTCCGGAA